TGTCCCGAGCTTTATCATGGGCTCAGATGCGGATCTTGAGGTTGGAGAACTGCGGGCACGACCCTTGGATGATTGGAGAAGTTGCCTACTACATCAAGATTCGAAAACGGATGGGAGCTTCTTACGCCCAAGCCCAAGCTGCCGGTGCCCTTCAAACTATTACGTCTGGCTGGGTATGCATTATGCATCAACATTACTATACATTGACCGTTATGTGGGTACCGGGCCACGGTTTCCCAAGTACAGCAACTCTAACAACGGATTGAGTTTCGTCAGTACTTTGAGAATCGTCAACGACTGGCATCTTCTTCGACCAATCTAGAGCCATATCTTGCAGTTGTAAGGTCTTTTCGGGATTCATTTATTGATCCCCCGGATTAATAACCAGTGACTTAAGCATCGTTCTTGTTGTTGTCTGAGCGTTAAAGCAGCAAATATACTCTATAACACTAAGCATGCTGTAATTATCTATACTAATATACTCTATAACACTAAGCATACTGTAATTATCTATACTAATATACTCTCTAACACTAAGCATACTGTAATTATCTCTACTAATATACTCTGCAACATATTACATGAACCCACATTCCGGCTCCCAGGACCTCTACAGGGTGCACAAGGGAGATATCCAGGAATGCTGATATAAAGCAGAGCTCTCTCAGAGCAGCGCAGCATCAGCCCATTGGACCCCAGGATCCACTCCAGTTCTCCAGAAGGTAAGGAGACTGGGTGGGGTGAGTAAGTCTGTTTTCTCTAAACCCCACTGCCCCCAGTACTGACCCTTTTGGGGGGCAGGGACAGTACTTTGGGTGGTTAAGGCAGCATTGCTGCCCTAACTGCCCAAAATACTGCCGCTGCCCCCCAATACTGTCCCTATCCCCCCAATACTGCTGCTACCCCACTGTCCCTATCCCCCCACACAATGCTGCACTAACATGCATTAATACTGCACTAACCACCACACGGTACTGCCCCTGCCCCCCAATACTGTTCCTATCTTCCCACCAAAGCCTTAGTCCCCCACAATATTGCCTCTACCCCCACTAAGCCACAATACTGTTCCTATCTCCTTGCTAATGCCCCAATCCCCCACAATACTCTCCCTGTCCCCACACTAAAGAATAAATTTGCCACAACACAGCCCCAGTTGCCATCAGAATAAAGTCCCAATCCCTTACAATACTACCCTTTCTCCCCCACAATAAAGCCATTATCCCCTACAATACTGCCTTTATTCCTCATTACTATCGCTATCATCCCCCCGGCTAAAGCCCCTGCCCACTCAGTACTGCCTCCCCCCACTATAACCCTTTTGTACTGCACTACAGAATTGGCTGGTGCTATGTAAATAATAATAATAATAAAGTCCCTATTCCACATAATTCTGCCCCTATTCCCCCACTCTGAAGCCGCTATAACACAATACTGCCTCTATTACCCAATATTACCTCTGTCTCACCATTGCTAAAGCCCCTGTCCCACACAATACTACCCCTATCCCCACCTACCCCCCACTAAAGCCCTATTGTACAGCACTGCAGAATTTGCCGGCACTAAATAAATAATAATAATAATAATAAAGTACGTATCTTGCACAATTCTGCCCCTATACCCCACACTAAAGCATAGTGACACAGAAAGGGGCTGGTGGGGAAGTAAGAGACATAAGGGGATGTAACACACACTAAATGGGGGGATATAATACACTAAAGGGGGATATAATACACCAAAGGGGGATATAATAAACTAAAGGGGTGATATAATACACTAAATGGGGAGATATAATACACTAAAGGGGGGGATATAATAAACTAAAGGGGGTGAAATAATAAACTAAAGGTGGGATATAATACACTAAAGGGGGGGGATATAATACACTATAGGGGGTGTAACCCACACAAAGAAATTCAAGAGCGTATGCAAAGACCTCAATATAACTGTTCCTGTATATAACGTTTCTATTCCTAGATGACTATATGTCTATTACGGACGCGATCTATTAAAAAGTGTTTATCTTGCACATAAGAAATATGGAGGATATGAATAAAGCTTTAGAAATGGCAGGAGAGTGGATAGAAAAGATGCAAAAGAGGCTTTATCTGCAATCAGAATGTATGATTTTACAAATGATATGGCTTAAAGTAATAAGGAAATCACAGGGGAGAAATTTTACATTAACTTATAATATGGATTCCTACAGGGCAAAGTAAAGTAATAAAACACAGACTTTGCTCTCCTCCAAACACAGAGTTTCACAAACACGCAGTCTGCCATGGAGGAACTAGCTGAACTGAAACGTGTTATTCGAAAATTCAGCTTTGACCCAAAGAAAGGGTATTCTCGATTACTCCTTCAACTGTTTGGCTATTTGGGTAATGGGAAGTCCTCATTTATTAACACCTGTAAATATGTCTGGGACGATGGAGAATTTATCAATCATACCACAGCAAAGAGTGAGGATGGACCAACCACTATGGCGAGACTATCCTACCCACTCACAAAGACCATCACACTGGTGGATAACCGTGGCTGTACCACAATGGACAGTTATGAGGTTGGAGAAATTTACGCTCAGCTCGGTAAGTGTACCTATCATCATCCATCTATCCCTGCATACATCTATCCCTGTATCCATCCATCCCTCCATCCATCTATTTTATAGTCCAGCTTTCTTTCTTTCTCTCTTTTTTTCTTTCTCTCTCTCTTTCTTTCTTATTTTTTTCTTATTTTTACCAGTATGGAGCATTATTTGATCTTGTGCATCATTTATCTTTCTTATGATATGTTTGGTTCTGAAGAATTACACTGAAAAGAAATATGTACAGAATCATACATATCCCTGTTTGCCTCTACTCTCTGGATTAAACACGTTTAATGTTTCACTTCATTTGCCATTGGCATTATACATTTTATTGGATTTTATTTGTTATTGGCCCTTCTGAAAATATTATAGTAATTAGTATTTTATAGGTATTTAATAATATTCCGATGTGGCGAAAGTAACCATCCTGGAAGTCATAGTTTGACCAACCGCAAGCATGGCCCCATGCCCAAAACAGATCCAGAGAATTAGGCTGTGCAGCCAGTCTATTTTAAACAATCGAATTACCGTTCGAATTACCGATCAGAATGGTGAATGACCATAGTCCATGTGTGTCCCTTGTTCGTGAGCTTCGACTCACCGAACGCCGTTTGACTCCTGTTCGAATAGTCACAATTTTCTGGAAGGTAACTGTTCAGCGGAGTTCGTGCCGTTGCTTTTCCAATTTGAGTTCCATGACACAACACAGCTGAACACGTTCAAACAAAAAAGACGGCCTCTGCCACGTGTTAAAATGTTGAATGGCGGCCACTTCGACCACTTCGACTTCTTTGACTTTATCCAAAGTTCCCCTTTGAAAGTGTAAATCTGTTCCAATAGAAGTCCAAGAGGCAGAAAGAGTATCTTTAACCCACAGTTCACCACAGGGCCATAGCCACAGGGTAGGAGGCTGGCAAACAGGCCACTCAAAAAAACAATGGTGAGGTCACTTTTGCCACAGCCAAACTTTTATTCACTGTATTTATGCAGAGTTTTGAGAAGTAAGCACTCCACACATTGATTGAGATTTGTTTATAATCTGTATTGAGTATTGGGGACCGTACCACCATTGGCCCTCTGTTGCCAACTTGCTATGCATGCTGAGGATGGACAGATTTTATGTCCAGAACTGAAATTTGAAGCCTTTTTAATACTAACCAAGAGTCCCCAGGAATCCATCACCTCTGTGTTCCTCTGGCTGATGATTAGCCTGAGCAGCAATGGGCAACTGTGATTGGTTGAGAGTGTCACCTGACTTTTTATCATATCTTACACCCCTCAGATTCCTAAAGCACTTTATTGTGCTGAAAGGATTTACATGTAAAGAGTGTGTCCCCTTCTTTTTCATTTTACAAAAAGAGCAGATTTCAATAGTGTAATAGGAATGTTTCTTGATAGTGTCACTGCCATTGAAGTCATTGTCTATTACTATTGTTGTGAGAATTTTAAGCTACAGAATTTATATTTTCATATGTTGTGTAAAGATCTCACCATACATTGAATGACATGTTGCTGGAGGCTATTCCTTGTGGGGAATAAAGTGCTTAGGGTCTTCTTGCCCTCACCCACCCCACCAGTATAGATGTCGTGAACGGTCCGCGAACTTCTCGCTTACGGTTCGCCACGGTTCGCCACGAACCGTTCGCGGCAAACTCCGGTCAGCTGACACATCCCGGCCAATCTCCAGCAGACCCTCCCTCCCAGTCCCTCCTACTTCCTGGACAGCATCCATGTTGAAGGCAGCTTCAACATGGATGCTGTCCAGGAGGTGGGAGGGTCTGGGAGGGAGGGTCTGCCGGAGATTGGCAGGGATGTGTCCGCTGACCGGAGTTCGCTGCGAACGGTTCGTGGCGAACCGTTCGCGAGAAGTTCGCGGACGGTTCACGACATCTCTACCCACCAGCTGTGGAGAAATAAGTACATAACGTATCAATCACAAAACAAATCCTAATATCTAATTGTGCATTATTGCATGGCAATAACCTTTGTGTATGTTCTCTCTCATCTAGCTAATTTATTACCTCTGGATAAGCTGGTGGAGTGGAGCAAAGGATATGAGCTCGCCAGGCGGATAAAAAGGGCAGAATACTCGGTGAAAACTACTGACTTCATTTTTCCAATATTTGTACACAGGTGAGAAAGATTAGATATTTCAATATTATACATGAAACAGAAAGGCCACACTCACCTGAACATGACCAACACATAGAGCATACAACATTCTGTGTACACCTACAGCACTGGAGTCTTCTGCATTGTGTATATAGAAAGTTTTGAAAGTCCATGCATCAAATGAGGCAAACCATTTGGTTTAATACAGGGCCATTCAGGCTGCAAAATATGGACATTGTTGTTCATGGAATTCATTAAGGTCCCAATGTTTTAAATCATGCACTGAACAGACCAGAATTTGGTCCAAGTTTTAGCTATGCCAAACATCGCTGGACAGCTGAAATCCAGACAGACTGAATTAAGTTTGTGTGTTGAGGCTTCAGGTTAAGAAACCTCTAAACTATTTGCCAACTGGCAGTGCTAACAGCCACTGGGTAATAAATGAAAATCTCTGGTGGTTCGAGGATTAATAATGTGGGACTGGCCAGCCACCACATTAAACAAACAAACAAAAAATTACAATTATGGGAGGACATAGGGTGGGGGCTAGGTTTAATTTTCTTATTGGGGACTTAGTGCTTCCCTTGACCCCCACCTGTGATTGATGGGATTGAGCCTTAATAATAGTGGGCACCAGGTGGGGCTCGTAATTAATTATATAAAGTATAAAACATGCCATCTCCATCCTCCATGAATGACCCAGCAGCACCCTTATTAATATGCATATGCAGGTGAGTTTAGCCTATTTGTTTTGTATAAATATATATATTTTTATTTTATTTTATTTGCATGTTTTCCCACTTCCATCTGGGTCACCAATCCCCAATGTCATTAATTAAAGCAAAATAAAAAAGACCCAATCAAAATGCCACAAAAAAAAGCTAAAACTGCATCACAATAAAAACAAATTATCTTCACTATGGGGAGCTGGTCACAGAATGAGATCTGGTAGCAATGGAACCCCTTATAGAGTGTTCTGATAGCCAAGATAAGTCGAGGCCTTAATGGATGAAGATGATTTTTTTTTCCAGTATTTTAATTTTTTTTTGCAATTTGGTTCTTTTTCATTTTTTTATTTAAATTAAGGACATTGGTTATAATGAATTTTTATTTGGCTTCTTTTGGGGCTGAAGAACAGAACAATATTGTACAGAGCCATCGCTGAGCTCACAAGGATTTTTTCCAATTGGGTTCCTGTTTTTAAAAGTGGCGTCAGGATGTAATAGTCTTCCTGGTTTAATTATCTTATTTGCACGTTTGCTTATTTCACAGTGTGAAAAAGTCCATCGCCCCTCGTGAATTTCTTCAATACAGGGAGCTGCTTTCAAAAGCTAGGGAAGTAACCGGTAAATACAGATATTTCTTACGGAGTTTAAACTTACACGTTACTTGTTGTTATGTAAACTTTCATATTTTTATAAAAACACTCGTACTTGAAAAAAACAGGACATCCTCGAAAACGAGAGAAATATCAATGTATCTTTCCTGGGAACATATTTTATAAACAAATAAATAAAAACATTTAATTTCAAATTTAAAAAAAAAAAACAATTATGTTTTAAATCCACCATAACCATCTGAATGTGCAGAGAACTTGAATTATATATATATGTGTGTAATTGAATGAGTGATCACTGTGATTAAACATGAATTTGATCATATTTCACAATATATACTGTATTAAACCCCAATGTATTTTTTGCCTTGGTGAGGTATTACAATCTGTGAGATTTTAAATTGTTGTTTAGTGAATGTGTGAGTGCGCTGGCTGTTGTGTGTTGTATGAATTGACCCAGCAGCACCCTTATTAACATGCATATGCAGGTGAGTTTAGCCTATTTGTTATGTATAAATATATATATATTTATTTTATTTTATTTGTAGTGTAAAATCCTTGCACTAGCTTTGGGAAAGCCATACATATTTGTAATCCCTTCCCTCGAGAATCAGGGGCTATACTAAGCTAATGAGATAGCACATTTGTTTAAAACGGCATTTGTAGTAGTTGGTCAAACCTTAAAATTATATATTTTAATGTCAATATCTTAGTAAATCCCATTTATTGCCTTTTAAAAGCAAAACTTTAATTGAACAATCGTTAAAACAGTTTCATGTTACAAGCAAACAAAAACATTCCAATAAAACACAAAACATGCCAGGTGGTCACATTGCCCTAAATGTCTTTCTAGGAATAACACATATCTTATTTTCACAGCAATATTTCCTGTTGTTATTATCACTCACAGGGAAATGTTGCTGAAAAGGAGAAGATTTTCAACAATCTTGGGGTGGAGCGGATCTTTGCCTTTGAGAATTATACCCCAATGGATAATATAAAGACACAAGGAAGACATGAAGATGTCCTGAAGTTCCTACATGAAGTTATTATGGATGTGCAGTTTCGATTGACTCAGCCACAAAATCCAGAAAGAGAAATGATAAAACACAAGCGAATTGTACTTAATTACATAAAGTATCAAGAGGAAGAAACAGAAAAAATATCAAAACAGAAAATAACGGGAGAGAGACCAGACGTTAGTAAACAAATAGAAAAAGAAAAAGAAATCGAAAGAATAAGGAGAGCCCTAGGGCAACAAATCGAACAAAGTGATCCAGAATTCGGACAACAAAGAATGCGTGATAGAGAAGAGAAGTTACAACAATTGGAGGCAGATATTAAAAGAGAACATGGAAGAGGTGTTCTGGAAGTTGAGATTAGAAACCTAGAGGATTTACTTAAAAGGGAAAATAATGAGAAGAAATTGGGAAAGAGACCTAATGGGGACTCCTGTGTCTTACAGTAAACCGTGCTCTGATTCTATAGCATACAGGAAAAACAAGAAATTACAATACAAACATTCAATACACATATCTTGTAATTTAACCATATTGGCCATAATTGTGAATTAACAAGCCAGAAATGAAAAATCAAGAGCAAATCTAAAAATTCTAAAATTCTAATATTTGAGCAATGAGTAAGAACATTCTATTGGTTTCCATGGGGATTACTATACTTTTGGTACTTTAGGGGTCACAATATTTATTAACTTGGATGTGAAGTGATCCAAAATTAAATCTTTAAAAAATATCAGATATTGGTATGTAAAATAAAATAATGAGAGAATAGATACAACACGTGAATAAGAGAACGCTAAATAAAAAGAGTGAAAGAACCAACATCTTACTCTTTAATGGGCCAGCTAGGTCATTCAGATTTCACCCATGGTCACTTATTATAGAAAAAAAAGAAGTGAAATCAGTTCTAAAATACAAAAGTGGAAACCGACACCACAAAATTACCACCAATTAAAAATCATTCTTATAAGCAATTGGAAAAAAAACTTGAATAAACGTTATTAGCACAATACAGACATTTGAGCTTTATTAGAAAGTACAAAACAAACGAAGTGTGATACGTAAAGTGCAAATTAAAAAGAAAACGGGGACCATTTAAGTAAGACCTCCATGAAGACCTCTCTCAAACTTAAAGATACATTGCTAATATAAAAAAAACATCAGTGACTCTTTTGGAATAAATAGCAGCTAACTTAAAATATCATCCTAGATTCAGAATACCTCAGCCTGGGAACATATCAATTCTGAAAGCCAATTACCAAATGAAGGATTCGGATCAGGGTCTATATACAAACATTTATAGGTCTAAAAGAAAGCACTGAAAAATTCTTCCAGCCGCATTAGGTATTGGCCAGGTATTAGGTATTTTCCAGTTGAGTCGCAATGAGTCACGTGTGATAAACTCAGCCCCTGCATATTCTGAGGTAGTATGTCCACTATTTTGTGTAATTGAGTTTCTTACTGAAGGAGGCTTGAATTAAGAAGTAGGTACATCTGGAATAATCTGAAACTGTTCAGTGGGGACCAGGACAACCTGCACTGGTCGGAGAGTTGTGGGTTGGGGGCTTTAATTATAGTTAAGTGGCAGGGGAGAGCTTGGTTATACGGCTATATATATATAGATAGTATGCCAGTTACAGAGCCTAGGTGTCTCTGTACGTCTCAGGCAGATATAATTGAAGTTGTGGCAGTAGATTCCATAGAATCCTAGAGGAGTGGAGAAGGTATACAGGAGAGGGAATACGAGAGTGGGTAATAAAAAGGAAACAAAGAGGTGAAAAGGAGAAAATGTCATAAATATATATATATACACGAGTAATGTATTACAGATACTAGAACATCCTCTAAGTATTCAAGAATATCATCATCATGGGCACTCTGACCGATCTCTGGCTACGCAGCCCCATACTCAGCAAACTGTGACACCTTTCTATCATGGCCAGCGTTAAGTGTTTCAGCAATTTGAGTTACATTAGCTCTCCTGTGTGATCGGACCAGACATACTAGCCTTTGCTCCCCATTTACATTAGTGAGCCTTGCACCCCTTTTAGTAGGTATTAACCACTGCATACTAAGATCACCCCACAAGACTTGCCATTTTGGAGATGCTCTGAGCCAGTCGTCTAGCCACCACTATTTCGCTCAGAACTTTCTGTTTGCCCATTTTTCCTGCTTCCAACACATGAAATTGAAGAACTGACTGAATAAACCCACCCTCTGACAGATGACATTGTAACGATATATTCCTATTCACTTTACCGGTCACTTGTTTTAACATGGTGACTGCTCAGTGTATTGTCTCCAACTATGCTTTATTGGTTGTTATGTTATGGTCTGTAGAGTTCAGTAAAGAAATTAAAAAAAAATATAAAACCTCAAGTCATTTTATAAATTTAGAGAGGGAGCTGTTATTAGTAGATTGCTCGCTATTTTGTATCCCTGAATCCTACCATAAAGTATACCACCCTAGGAAGCGATCTAATAAGCAGCTAAAATATCAAAATTAAGAAAAAGTCATTATTGCTTTTATACTAACATTTTAGATCCTGTGCGAAATATTGCAAGATAAAGGACACTGTATACAGTCTAAAGCTGCTAATTTCCCACAAGTTACTATAAACGAGGAACAAATAAATTTAAAATAAAAAATGTGTAAATGATATATTTGTCTTTGACACAAAAAACAGAAGGGCTGCGCCAAGAGGTAGGTATTAATAATAAAAGTAGTAATAGTATATACAATAGTCCTAAGACAATATAATTAGTGCAGTCTCACTAGTGGGACTAAAGTTCTAATAAAATCACCCAAAGATGAAATAAAAGCCAAAAACAAAGTCTCACACAGAGGTAAATGTCTTTATGGAGTGCCGGATTTATGGAGTGCCGGATTTTGGGTGTAGTGTTGTTCAGCTTCCGTATGTAAAACATGAATGGAAAAAGCCAATGGTGCAATATGTACTGACAAGTGAAGATTAAAAAAAATGGATAGGTAGGTTCAACTCACATTTAAAAGAGCTATATCCAGCTCAGGTGTGGGGAGCGTTCTGCGGTATAATCCCCGCTTAAAGGATGTGTGATAGGAGTCCTCCAGAGGGGTGATGTCCAACACTCAGGAGAGGAAAAAAATAAAAGACAACTAATAGTGCTCTCAGTAAAATAAAAATGCAATAAACACAAGTAAAATTGAACTCACAAGTGGAATGCAGGCAAACTGCCCTAGGGTATCAACGTTGGTGGTATGATCCCCACTTCAGGATATACTTGGAGTCACATGAAGGAAAAAGCAGGTAAAAGTAGGACAGGCAAAATATTTCAAATATAAAAATGTAGAATTCAAAAGATGATTGGCACAATCTTGTAACCAAAAATACTTTTATTAAGAAAATTACTCAATTAAAATAACCATGAACATATATTTGTTTTTATATAAATGTATTTTTGAAATGATACTCACCAGAACTAATTCAATCAGCTGTAGTTGTTCTTGTGACTATAGTGTCCCTTAAAATAAATATTGGCTAAACTGGGACTTATGTATATGCATTCATAAATGTCCACTTAAGGGGCTATATGTACATTTTGCAGGAGGTATAAGCTGTATAATTTTAATGAGAAACATACTGCTCTAACATTCTTTGGCTGCTCCATCATCGAATCAGTAGATAGTAGGGGTGGAGTTATGGCAATAAAAGCCAGAAGGTGGGACAGCGACACTGTCTGACGAAGCCCGAGAGAAGCGTTCAAAATGTATAACAAGGAATGTCATTGGGAGGCAGAGCCAAGGATTGGCTCTGAACAAAACCTGGACGTATCTTGATAAAAGTCAACATTTATCTCCACAACACATGTTTGTGGGGATTACTGTTTGGTATACCTGCCATTTTTTGAAGTAAGCAGTTTTTAATTTGTATATTTATAAATGTTTTTGTGATACTGTATCATTGGGGTTCCTAGTTTTGTCTCCTATATAGGAAATGCACAAGAAGAATATATTGCCATAATTTGGATATCACGCTGTGAGATTCATTCCTTCTCAATTGGAACTTCTCTGACCCAGAGCCAGTGTTAATAGGGCTCTGGTAAATGTGAGTGGAACTCCCCATACATGTTTATATCAATTATTTTATATATTTGGTTCATCTAATGCTCTGCACTATATATTTTTATGTTATTTTTCACAGATTTCTTCAGATATATTATTGATAATTGTTAAAGGATCACAAACATGTATTCCTGACCCTATAGTGTTAAAACCACCATCTAGCTCCCCTGGGCCCCTCATGCCTCCATAAATATAGCAACATCTTACTGTATTCAAGCCAGAAGCTGTAACTCTGCATGCCTCAAAGAAAATAAGAAGTCTGTTGACATCATCAGAAGTGGTGGCCTGATCCAATCACAGTGCTTCCCCATAGGATTGGCTGAGACTGTGAAGGAGGCAGATCGGGGCAGAGCCAGCATGATTCAAACACAGCCCTGGCCAATCAGCATCTCCTCACAGAGATGAATTGAATCAATGAATCTCTATGAGGAAAGTTCAGAGTCTGCATGCAGAGGGAGGAGATACTGAATGTTTGGATGCATTTTAGGCAGCTATGACCCAGGAAGGATCTCTAACAGCTATCTGAGGAGTGGCCAGTGAAGTTCTCACTAGGCTGTAATGTAAACACTGCATTTTCTCTGAAAAGACAGTGTTTACAGCAAAAAGCCTGAAGGTAATGATTCTACTCACCAGAACAAATTCAATAAGCTGTAGTTGTTCTGATGAAAAACCTCCAGGTAAGTAGGAATGCAAAAGGATGAAGTGGCAACTTCTATGGTGTGAATAAAAAATGTATACAACCTTCTGATATAACAGCGTGGTAGGCAGTGTCTACAGAGAAATATATAAATCGCACATAGTGTGACAAATGTTTATATACAGAGACACGCAGGATATATAAGTTAAACTCACAAAATGTAAGTGAATATCAGGCCCATCATCCTAATCAGGAGTAATCTTCGGAATGATATGGAGATAATCTTCTTTTGCACTTGTAAATGAAACCAGATGATAGTGCAGATGAGACTTAAAACAGCAAAGATTTATTACAAATGCACTTACAAAAGGTTCAGATAAAACAGCATATATCCACTACAGAGTGGAGAAAAAAGTACAGCACTGCAAGACCCCAACGTTAGAATACAACGCATTTTGTCCTCTGGACTTCCTCAGGGATGTGATCTCACTAATCCAAAGCCTTCGTTTAAATATTCCACCGAGATAGAGGAATGGAATCCACCTGTGATGTTGACGTCCAGTGTAACTTCCGGTTCCGTTCTGGTGAAAATTCTTCTATGTGTTCCATGCTGGAATGCAGCTGAATGCTACCGATTGGATAATTAAACATACAGCATACCATAAAGTGTCCAATCATGATGGGGCATGAATCAAGCATATGTAGAATAT